AGATTGATAATGAAAAATGCTTTTATAGACATACTACTATATAATTCTTTCTATTTATAGTGGTATTTCTATGCGGATATTGCTGATAAAATTGTTGTTTTAGAGACCATGGATCGATACCCTAGTACTTGTCGTCTTGTCTCTAGTACTTCCGATCCTACAGTACTACAGAAGAGAACAAGTTGCAGTGTCCATTATTCAGATGTTCGGTTATGGCAGAAAGACTCGAGATCGGTCAGTGGTCCCAATATCCCATACCAAGAATTTCTTGGCCATGCACATATTATATATATGTTGGAGCATCCACCAAATTCATCCGTCCAGAATGCAGAGAACACGCCTGAATAAAATCTATGGGAGTACTCGGAACAATATACAGTCAGTACAGTCGCAAGTTATCAATGAGTTCAGTGATTTGTATGGATCCCATCCCATGGATCGCCTCATCACAAAGTTAAAGCGTTAAACTACATACTAGTCAAACTGAAACCCTGCATGAATGCCTGTGTCACTGTGTGACCTGCTAACGACGACGGAGGCTTGACCACCCCAGTCCTCTCCTCCAAGGGTCTGTTAGTACTGGAAAGGGCGGCCGACCCAGTTACTGCAACGGCCCAGGCCCATGCATTTGTAAGATAACCCATGGGGTTTCACGGGAAAAGAGAAGGAAAAAAAACTAGTATGGGCTGCCAAACATCAATGTTTAGCCCATCAGACCCCAAGCCCTACTCTCGTTATCCAATGCAGGCTGCGATTGCGGTAAAAACAGGGGAATTCCGTGTGTGCCATTAAAAAAAGATCGTAATGTCCTGTGTGTCTCTAGAAAAAAGTTCAGTGGTCTTTAGCGTCACTGCTCTAACTTTTTTGTGCCTTCCATGCCACTGCCGTTAGTTTGGGCTCTAACGCCGTCAAACTGCAGGTGTGAAAAGACGAAAATACCCTTAAGTCTAAATATGTCATTAATTTTTTTAGCATCTTAACGACTTCAAATGAAAAAACTCAAAACTAGAAAGTTGTAGATGTCGTCGAGATTTATAATTTTCATATAAAAATTATCTTCATTTAATTCCGTAAAAAATATGATTTGATATGATTAATATATCTTAGAAAAATCATATCTTTTTTTGCGGAATTAAATAAAGATAATTTTTATATGAAAATTATAGATCTCGACGAGATCTACAACTTTCTAGTTTTGAGTTTTTTAATTTGAAGCCGTTAAGATGCTCAAAAAAATTAATGACATATTTAGACTTAAGGGTATTTTCATCTTTTCACACCTGCAGTTTGACGGCGTTAGAGCACAAACTGACGACAGTGGTATGGAGGGCACAAAAAAGTTAGAGCAGTGACGCTGAAGACCGTTGAACTTTTTCAAAGACACACAGGACATTACGATCTTTTTTAATAGCACGTAAGAAATTCCCCCAATAAAAAAGGTCGGTGGATCCGGTCTTGTTCGGGGATTGGGTTGATCCCCTCCCAGGTGGCGGGTTCAAACCCTTTGATTCCTATGGATTATTTGGGACAGCGTCCATATACGCTTAGATTGGCTAGGAATTGTATTTGTATAATACCACCCAATCCTCCACGTGAGAATTGTATTTGTGTCTTTATCTGATCGTTTGCATCCCTCTCAACTGACATGGTTTCATCCGACGTGGAGGAGAGAGGAAATCCAAGACTACTCTTCCCTATCGACGAAAGAATCACTATTCCTTTACCAGGAGCTGCTGGCAATACTTGGCACGGCTTAGGCCGGCTTTGGCTTTATCTATTTTGCGTAAATTGATGTACTGTAGCGTGAAGCCGTTTTGTAAGCCGGGGTTAAAATAAACTAGAAACTGAAAAAACCCAGTTTTTCTGGCTTCACCGGCTTTGGCTTCACCGATGAAGCCGTTTTGAATGAGCCGTGCCAAATGGGCTTTAACTATTGACTAGAATCTGCACCTCCGCCCATTAGACATGGTCATTGAAGCCAGAAATTTTTGGTAGCTCCATTTTCAGAAATTGTCATAACCTCATGCTGGATCATCTGGACAGCTAGAAACAGGGCTATCTTCGATGGTGAAAGCTTTACACTGGATAGGTGGCTGCATGATTTCAAAAATGAGCTCGGCCTAGTTTGCATCAAGGCTAAGCATAGTGTAAAGCTGCTTTTAGAAACTTGGTGGGAGAATATCCCCTAATGTATTTCCTTTTTTTTTCTTTTTGGGCTTTGCAAGCCTTGTACTCCCTCCATCCCAAATTGTAAGACGTTTGACTTTTTTGGCATCAAGTTTGACCACTCGTCTTATTTAAAAAATTTGTGCAAATATAGTCAAATTTAAGTCATTTTTGAAGAATTTTTATTAATAAACCAAACCACGACGAAAGAAGTGATATTTTATACAAATTTTTGAATAAGACGAGTGGTCAAATTTGGTGTCAAAAAAATCAAACGTCTTACAATTTAGGATGGATTGAGTAACTTGTACATGCCTGTATAAAAAAATTTAAGTAGGGCCTCCACAGCTGTTCCCTCGAAAAGAATCACTATTCACTAATCTATTTGTGCCTACCGAGATAGGTTGGTCCACTCCGTTAAACTTTTCTTTGCTCCTCGCTCACCACCGCCCCGGCTGCGATTCTTCTCTATACCTAGTCCTGCTGCAGACTGCAGTGTTTTTTTTTATATAAGTGCAGACTGCAGTGTTGCTAGGAGTTGAAGCATAGCAGCAACGCCACTAGGAGTTGAACAACAACACCGGCGCAGGTGCTTATTAGGTCCACCGCTAGGAGTTGGAGCATAGGAGCAGCGGCGTAGGTGCTCACATGTATGACTAGGAGCTGGACCGACCTGGGTGGGCACACTTAACCCGAAACCAAGGATCGAATTCAAACCGAACCGAACAGTTCTGGGCTTGTTTAGTTTCAAAAAGTTTTTCAAAAAGTGCTGCAGTAGCCATCACATCGAATCTTGCGATACGTGTATGGAGCATTAAATGTAGACGAAAAAAAAATTAATTGCACAGTTTGGTTGAAAATTACGAGATAAACGTTTTAAGCCTAATTAGTCCATGATTGAACACTAATTGCCAAATAAAAACGAAAGTGCTACAGTAGTCAAATTCCCAAAATTCGCGAACTAAACACAGCCTCTTTTGTTCTTGGTTTGGCTTCAGTTTTGACATCTAGAAGCTTCGTTTGTCGTTTGTCAGTTCGTTGTTTGGTTTTGCCACCAAAACCGAGCTGAATAACCGTTCAAACCGAGAAGCCGTGCGTGGGAATCACAATTGGGGCACCACGGCTGCGCAAGCGAGCGGCGAGCATAGCGTCGCGGCCGCGCATTCGAGCAACAAGCGAGGGCAGGGCGCGCCGACAGACAAGATGCAAGCGGCAGAGGGGGATGGCGCAGGAGAGTTCTTAATTTGGCATCTCAGTTGAAACCGAAAACCGAACCGATTAAACCGAAACCGAAATCATCGGTTTCTCTTTTTCTTTAGAACTGATCGGTTGCAAGCTTTTCCAAAACTGAAATTTTCGTAAACCGAAGACCGCAACCGAATTATTGGTTCAAACCAATTGCCCACGCTGATGGACGGAGCCGCGTCAGGCTTGCACGACTGTGGCGAGCTCCTCCACATCGAGTTTAATCGCAATTCAAGCTATGTTTGAATTCTTGTCTTGGTGTCATTCCCTTCGCGGCCTAGCTAGTTTTCCATCTACTCAAGCCCAACAAGACACGTTGGACCTCCTCTTCCCTTTTCTCTAGTTCTTCAACCATGGTCCAGGTCATCAGGCCTGATATTAAAGAGAAAGATAACTTTTCTTGCTTGGGGGCGGCCCCAACCAAGCACCGCGCAGGCGGTGGCGGCTGATGGGCGCGCGGCTGCGCAGAACTGAGGGAGGAAGAGAGGAAGACAGCCCGCGTGGCTCTGAATGACACCCTGCCACGCTAGGAAGGTTGGCGCAGCAGGTGCCGTGCTAGAGTCGGTGGTGCAGTAGCGTTGACATGTCGGCTGGTGAGCAACCATGCTCTGCCTCACCAGGCTGAATGGCGCGTTGTAACAGTTTGACCGCGCTAGTGATATTGGTGCAACCAAATGTAGTAGTTAAAAAAACCAATAGTGTTATTTTTATAAATAATTTTAAAAAGGATTAAAAATAAAAAATCTCGTTGGTCTACTTGATTCAGTACGGGCTCCTACCCAAATCCTGACCTGGACCTAATTAACACTAATTAGCCTCTGCATTGTAAAACTTGGGGTGTTGACCTGATCAAACGCCGTCTAGGCTACAGGCGTGGCCCTTTTTCGGTGGGTGCTAGCTTAGTTACGACATTAATGACCAAACGACGAGGACAATGGGCGCGGGTGTGGCGCTTGGCGACTTAGCCTGTTCGTTTCGGCTGAATTGGCTTATAAGCCATGGCTGAAAGTATTGCTGACCGGTTTGGTGTGAGAAAAAAAACACTGTTTAACTCATAGATTATAAGCAAGATACGAACGAATAAGCCGAAACGAACGTGCTATTAGACGTTGGATGGGATCATGACTCGCGAGTCGTCGGTAAGGCATAGAAGGCGAAGCGGCGCAGGCAAGCGGTAGTGTGGCGCTTCGGATGGGATCACGACTCGTTAGTCACAGACAGAGGTAGATGAAGCATCGAGATTTTTTTTTAATCTTAGACAGGTCTCAATAGAATTTTACGGGAGTTTTATGATATTAATAAATGAATTAATGACATAGTATAGAATAAAGAAAGAGATTAAAGTTTTATGGACACGACACGGAAGTCCAGCCCGGTACTGGGCCCGAGAGCACCTCCTGCTGAGAGTCTCCGTGACCGTGAGTGAGAGCCCTGCCGCTGGCCCCCTGCCCTTCTTCTCCGGCGAGGTCGCCGGCGCCGGCGACGAGGGCGGGCGGGCCGACCCCCCCCTGTACAGTCCCTTAGTGGAATAACGCACCCGAGATGGGCTCACCTTCATCTTCTTGAGGGTGGCCAAGCTCATGGCGGCCATGGCGACAGGCGTGAGCTCCCTCCATAGTTTTGAGGTGAGTACTACAATAAAGGCCCCCTACTATCCTGTGCTTCTTCCTTATCTGCTCCATGGCTATGAGAGCTGCATGGTGCCGTTCCCATCCAAATCGAGCAAAGGAAGTAGCATATCTACCAACAGCGTCATCAACTCCGGCGACCCCTACCCGCTACAAGTCTCCGGCGACCTCGACCCGCTGTGCTTAGGCACGGTGGAAACCCCATCCTCGTCGGTCTCGGTCTTTGGACGGGCTTGGCGTTGCCGTGCCTCCCGTTGGTGCGGCGGCTCGTCATGGGGGCTCCAGCGGGAGCTCTCCTCCTCACCGACTGGCGGCGATGGCGTCATGGTGGTCACGAGAACCACCACGCAGGCGATGGCATGGGGGCGGCGGTCTTTCCCCATCGACTCGCGCTGCTCGCCGCAGAGAATCCGAGCCGGAGGATGCGGTCTCACCAGGGGCGGTCTGTGGGCCTGTCTCTTGTGCGCTGGAAGGCATGCAGCTCCACTCCGTGGCCACCGCCACCGCCACCGGTTACTGCCTTCTACGTCTGCCTGCCTCTTCAATTCCTTCTCGGCCCATTGTTTCTCTCCGGGTGTTGATCATGCACAACGCATTCTTTTTCTCCGTCAATCTGTATTTCTGTTGTTCTGCAGACATAGAAGTGGAAACCAGCTATTGGTGTTCAGGTTGACCGACAACGACAGTTGATGCAGGTCCTTAGATTTGGCACTGATGGCTGTGGATTCAAATTCTTCAGCCCGGTAAAGCCTCCACTCTATTTACGGCAAGACTGTATATCCTCAAAGACACAGGCCGATCAGATAATTGTGGGGAGCGCTAGCTGTGCTATCGGATTGCGAGAACGAGGACCCCATAGATGTTTCTATTGTGGCCACTTCGTGTGGGTCCTGCGTCCCTAACGGAAATATCACCTATGTCTACTGAAGCAGATTTACAGTAGCTTTTACTTTACTGTGCTTTGTATTCTGAAATTTTTCCCCACGCTGTTGTGCCGTGCTTTAATGCTATATATTAAATGTTGTAAAAAAAGTTTTATCCACTGGAATGAGTTTTAAGAGGATACAATTTGTCTATGTTATTTGAAACAAAACGGTCTTAAAAACTGGTACACGAAACCATTGTGAGAAAACTGGCCTCATACCGATGGGCTGAAGTGCATCCTGTAGATCCCCGCGCCCTGGCCCCTGGGCCGTGGTACAGGGTCAAAGGCTGTGGCAAACGCTTGTGCTAGCCCAGCTTTTCCAGATGCTTGTGTCAAATCTCCGCCGGCTCCATCATCCTTCGTACTCTTTGCAGCAACTAGAGGAGCCTTGGCCTTGCCAATTGGCAATTGCCAAGTAACCATAGCCATATTTAAGGAGTGCTATAAAATTGGTTGCACTACCACTACCCAGTACCCAGGGGCGAACGAACAACAATAATGGCAGTCAATTCCTTCTGAAATCTATTTACACAGGGCTATTCGAAGCAATACCCTTAGAGCCAAAAGCAGATAAGTCAAGCGGCTAGAGCGAATCCTGGATAAGGCTCCTCTTGCCTGAGAGAAAGGGACTTCTTTCTACAGTCGAAGCCAAGCACAGACGGCATATGAAAACCCGTCTTTAAAAATCAGGAAAGACACTCAATCATAAGATTTTCAATGAAAGGAACGCGCCAGAATGAAATACTTCAGTTAGGATGAGCTACTACATATCGTTCTCAAAGAGGCATGTGAAACTGAAGCAATTCCTGCAACCATCAACGAAGTCAAGACATTACCTATAGCAAAAAAGACTACCGATAAAGAAGAGCCAAGCCCTGCATTTCTGTAACACCCAAAATTTTTTTGCATTCTTTTAAAATAGTAAATTTGAGTTATTTATGTTATTACGTGTGCATTTCAAATTTAGGAAATAATAATTTTTATGAAATTAAAAGTAAATATAAGGATAGAAACATGTTGATGCATTCATGCTGTTGCATGTTTATTTCTGTGATGTCTGGTTTCGACCCAAATGCCAAAATGATTCAAAAACCCTTTGAAAACAAATTTGGAAAATTGGTTCAAAAAATAAAAAGGAATTCCTTTCCCTCCCCTCCTTTCCTCTCCTCCCGTTTCCCTCTATTGGGCCGGCCCAGTCCGGTTGGCAACCGCGCCGCCTGCGCTGGCAACCACCCGCTGCCGCCTCTTCTCTCACTGCCCAGCCAGGCCTGCCTGTCAGCTCTTCCCTCCACCTCCCGAGTCACGCGCGGTCGAGGCGGAACCGCCGCCTCGCTCCTGGCGTCGTGGGCGCGTCGCCCCGCTCCCCGGCCTCTTTAAAAGGAAGCCGAGACCACGCCGCTGCTCCCTTTCCTCTCCTAGCGTCTATTCCTGCCCCACTCGAGCCACAGAAGCCGCCGTCGCGCTCGTCCGATCCGCCGAGCTCGAGCTCTGCCGCGGTGATCCCGTTTCGCCGTCGTCGTTTGGTCTTCGCCGAGCTCCGCCGAGTCGTAAGGAACCTCCCAAGGCTTTTATCTCATCGTTTCTCGCCCTCTACTGCTCACACACCATCGCCATTGCTCTGCAGAACCTCGCCATCCGCCCCTCCGCGTGGTCCGCCGTCCCCGAGCCGCCTCCGCCTCCGTTTTCCCCCGCGGTGAGACCCCCTTGCTCCTCTCTTTCTCCCCATGCCGTTTATTTCACGTTTCATGGCCTCTAGCGCCCAATCCACGAGCGCCGTCAACCTTCCCGCCGCCGGCCATGGCGACCTCCGCCTCAGCCGCGTCCTTCGGCCGCTCTCTCGGCCTAGGCGAGTTCGCCCACACACCCTCTCTTCCCCGGTGCCCTCGGTTCTTCGAACCATGGCCCGTAGACCCCAACCCGTGCGCGCCGGTGACCTCCTTGCCACCGGCCATGGTGCCCCGCCGCCGGAAGCACTATTCCCGACCGACGCCCTCGCCCTCTCATTTCTAATCTGAGCCGATCGTTCTTGATCCAACGGCATAGATCATCCTGTACCCCTTCGCGTGGCAGTTTTGTTAAGGAGTCCCTGAGCTTTTCTAAATCCTAACCCGCAGTCCAAAACACATTTCCTGAGTACGCTTTCTCCTTTTGAAAACGTAAAATATACTGTTTTAGTCCAAAATACGTTTTCAGTATTTACAGAAATGCCATTGCACTGTTTTGCTTATAAAATCATCGTTATAGCTCCGATTTGACCCATTCAAATTTCGTTATGTTCGCAATTAAGTTCTCTACATGTTAATACCACTATTAACCCTATTTGCAACATTTAAATTTTGAGGTTAAATTTAGTTAAATAAATTGCTATAGGAAATCCTGTTTAATTCATAACTTTAGCGTTTTAGCTCCGTTTTTCGTGAACTTCGCGTTGACATGATCGTAGCGAGACGTAGATTCTTTTCATAAACATTTTATCTTGTTTTGTATACTGTTGGTGTACTGTTCTAACCATAGGATTGTTTGGTTTGCATGAATGTTCCTGGAATGTTGTATGTTGCCGTGTTGGTCGTGTTGAGACGGTGAGGAGAATGTTGGAGACCAAGAGTTCTTTGACGACCAGCAGGACCAGCAGGAGTTTGCTAACCAAAGCAAGTATAGCATGGGATCTACCTTGATGTCCTATTCACCTTTATTAATTACTCATTTGCATGTGTCTAATTTTGATACCCGTAAGGACATCCTAGTGATTGATTATCCTGTTCCTTGACTCCTATGTGTTATATGCATATGGGTAGTTTGCTAGCGCTCAATGTAACTATACATGATCTACATAATGAAATAATGGTTCTATGGAACGAAAAGCTAAAATTGACTTTTAACAACTGAATTATAGGGCGAAGGAGCAAATGACTTTCGATCATGATGCTCTCGGCCCTCTATAAGGACTTATCTGTCGGCAAAAGCTGGGACTGACAGTGCAACCGTGAGGGTCATATGGCTCTGACTTTAGCACAATAATAGGACCTTTTCTAGCTTGTTAGAGGTTACCTTTATGGCGCAAAAGGGGCTTGCCACGTTGGGTATAGGACTGCCCCTGTTCTTATGTGTATAGCCACGAAGGATTTGTGCCATAGGAAAGGGGGGTTCCTACATCTGCCTGCCGAGAAAACCTAGCGGCCCTAACTTGTTAGAGAAACCTATGAAATGGCTTCATAGTGTACCCTGTCCACTCACCTTGGCAGTGATATGGGAGTAATTAACCCGGGCATATGAGAATCACGACTCACGGTGAATGTGCACAACCTCTGCAGAGGGTTACAAACTGTTATAACAGCCGTGCTCACGGTCATGAGCGGCCCAAAAAACTCACAAAATAATTGGTTACTTATTGTTGTTCATTTATGATGGTATACGATGATAATATGATCCAAATGATTCTGATATCTGATTATGTGGGTTTAAAAGGGAGCTTAAGCATAACTTGATAATACTTGATAATAAAATCTTGACTTACTAAAAGAGCTAACTGCAGTAAACTAGTGTCATCCTTTTGAGCTTTCATAACCCCATGTTGTCTTGTTAAGTACGGAAAGTACTTACGCTTGTTTACTTTCAATATTTGGATAAAAATCCTGGATGGGTAACAGATGTCAACGGATATGAGGAGTTTTCTGAGGACTATTAGGCTTTTGGTCAACCAGTTGACCGTCCTTGTGTTGGAGCTTCCACGAGAGAGCTGTCTTTTATTTTCCGCTATGTCGTGTAAGACTATGTTATGTTATTAATCGTGATGTAAGATACACCATGATGATACTTTTGTAATTTGTCAACTTGTGTGTGTGACTGATCCCTGGGCACATATGAGTTTAGTGCATTCAATTTTATCCTTAAAATTGGGTGTGACAAATTGGTATCAAAGTCGTGTTGACTGTAGGACGCAAGCCTAGTTAGAAATGATCGTTTTAGCATCTTTGCTCCACTGGTTTCCTGCTTACTGTCTCATTCTTGTTATTTTATTAAAGTATTTATGCTATTCATACCTTAATCTATTATATAATTTTTTTTATTCTAATTCTATCTTACTCTAAATCTATAGATGTCTCGTAACCCGAAGACCGCCCGCCTCAGCACTGCAGGCTACCGTGCCATGTTCACCCCCCGTGCTCCACAGGCGAAGAAGGAGATTGTGATCATCTCCGATGATGAGGTGGAACCCTTGATCGGGGATGATGAGGAGTGGATGGCTACCCCGACACCTGCACCTGCTCCTACTCCAGTTGTTGCACCTGTCTATGCTGATGTAGCTATCCTAGAGGAGTCATCAGCTACTTCACCTACGCCTGTGCCATCCCTAGCTGTCCTAGGCTGGAAGTGCAAATACTACTTCAAGCCAGCCCCGGAGACGGCCTACTACCACACCCTCCTTACTCATGTGCTGGATGACTACTACCCTGATCTGCACGCCTCCATTAACTATCATTGTGCAGAGTACCAGCATCCTTTGGAGGCAACCTTTTGGAAGGTAGAGCTGGTTGTCACCGCTTGGAATGACATAAAGAATGGACATGAGGTGGAGACTGTCCATCGTGCCACTGCTAGACAGGCTCACGCATTGGATGGCATGGAAGATGCAGTGCAGGACGCCTACATCTACTACCATGATCGTCGTTTTGAGGCCATGAAGGACGATCATTTTAGGTTCCTTCCTCGCAATGATCATGAGGGTAACTGGCAGGTCCCGGCACCAC